TAAGGTCTATGATATGCAAAAACAAAAATCTCCAGAGTTTAACAATGAGTTATCGGCTCTTTCAATCGGTGCGCATGCGAATGCTTTTACTTACATCGGTTACATAGTGAATGGTGTTAGGTTTATGGTACTTATGCGTGATGCCCAACGATCAACACAAAACTCGGGGGTTCTAACTGAGGGAGAGAATAAGCAAAAATATTATGGTCAACTAGAAGAGATTATCGAGTTGCATTATCCTCATATCTATTCCACCAGACTTTTTCGTTGCAAGTGGTTCGATACTGCAGGAGTTAAATGTGATAATAATTTCACTAGTATTGACCCACAACACGAATTCAGCAGCGAAGATCAACTCATATTTGCTACGCAGGCCAAACAAGTATTTTACATCCAATAACCTTCTCGGAGTGACGAAAATGACAACCAACAGTGGGTTGTTGAAAATGTTAATCACAGGAGAATTTGGGATCTACCGATGAACGATGTTGACCATGATCCTATTGAAAATGTCGACCATGATCCCATTGAAAATGTCGACAATGATTCAACTGATGTCGTTCTTAGTAATGCTTCTTCTAATTTCACTCTCTCAATCGACTTTAGCCAGTACTTTCAAAATTCTAAATCTGTTGAAGATGATATTGAAGTTGACCCACCAATGAGTATCATCAATAACGTGTCTGATTGCGAGACTGATTATGATGAGGAAGATTCAGATTATGATAATGATGTGTTAATAGACACTGAAGTGTCTGAGGGGGAGAATGATTAAAAAAATCTTTACATTTGACAAGTAAAATAAGGTTTGTATTTGTTGTAATCGTATCATATCATATCATATATATATATAGATATATATATATATATATATATATATATATATATATATATATATATATATATATATATATCTTATAAAGCTAGCATTTTTCCTTTCACCACATTCATTTGAAACTCCCATGACTTTTCAATTTCTTCCAAATAATGTTTATAAGTTGGTTAATAAGATTAAATAAATATCAAACATAAAGTGTAATCATATACAAACTAAATTTCAATATTATTAAAAGAATATTTTTACTACTACTTATAAAGTTATGTTTTTTAACTTTTAACATATTATTCTTAATGTATTAGTTTTAATATATTGTTGGATGTAAACCATTATCATTCTATATCTACAACTTTTGAACAATTTGTATAAAATACTTAAATTATAAATTTAAATATAACATTACAGGATCAACTTAAATATAAATTTTAGTTTAACTCAAACAACCCAAATAATATTTTGTAAATAGTTAAAAGTGATAAATTGTAGTGTTTTTTTAATAATAATTATAAGTTGGTTAATAAGGTTAAATAAATATCAAACCTAAAGTGTAATCATAAATAAACTATTTTCAATATAAAATAATATATTTACTTCTACTTATAAAGTTATGTCTTTAACTTTGAACATATTATACTTAATTTATTAGATTTAATATGTTGTTGTATATAACCATTATCAATTTAAAGCTACAACTTTTGAACAGTTTGGACAACATACTTAAATTGTTAATTTAAATATAACATTACAGTGTCAACTTAAATATAAATTTCAGTTCCACTTAAAAATCCCAATGCATATTTTGTGAATAGTTAAAAGTGATAAATTGTAGTGCTAAATACAAAAACTAAATTGTAATCTCAATTTAACTAAAAATTTTCCTAAAGATATTTGTATAATTGTTAAAGGTTTTCAAATAAGTAGTTTAAAATAACTTACAATAACAATAACTCTATATAAATGATTATATTGTTACCTTTAAAATCAAAAAACAATGTTTGATGTTTTAAATAATTATAAGGATAGAAATTAAAACTTTAAACTAATAAATTTTAAAAAATTAATTAACAATAACAACAACTATAAATAACATTAAACCATATATTATATTTAATTTTATTCATGAGTAACTCGCGGGTAGAATTTATTCAAACGGTTGACATTATCCAGTTATAGTAGATGTATATATCATCATATAATTCAAAATAATCAATATATTATATCAATTTAGTATACAAATTATTATATCAAATTTAACAACAACATTATTGTTATATTTAAAAAAACATATATTTATAAAGATTTCAACTATTAGGTTCAAGTATAAACCTTATATATTGTGTGAATGTAAGGCTTATTCTCAACCAATCATTTCGTAGGGGTATTATAGTAAAATCAATTGAAGAATTAATTAGATAACCAATTTTAAAAACATATAATTTAGGAAAGTTGAATAATTGTCATCAAATTAAAATCCTTTTATCTTGGAAATTCAAATCACAAGAACGTCTCATCACCATGTCATTTGTGTTTCGTTCAACATCATCACAAGTTCACAACCATGCCTAACATCGGCTTAAACCCTAACCATCCAGCATCACAGATTCGTCAAACCTATCATCACGATTTTGTTTTTTAACCAACAACACCACAACCTTCTTCTTCATGTCACAATCTTTATAACTTCAAACCTCGATCATGTATAGATCTGGAGGTCATCGAAGGAATTGCAATGCATTGGCCTGTTTTTTTGTTTTTTTTTTTCTCTGGAACAATGATGATTGGAGTTTAATTTTTGGAGGGCAAAAGTCACAATTTTCTCTCTCTCTTTTTTTGCGTTTGATTAACGTCTGCCAACTGTTCAATGATTTGCTCTTATAATTATGCATTTTTTTTGTCACCACCACCATTAGTAAGTTCTTTTTTTCTTGACATTAACTTTTGAGTAATTTATGTTGTTTCTTTTTACATTTTTGTCAATGATATTGGTCCAATTTGCACACAGAATAAAATCTCATCCAACATGAAGTTACTTTAGTCATTTTACCTTTATTACTTATATTAAGATGCTTCTATGATTAGGCTTGTACCTAATCTGTAGCTTGTCGTCCCAATATTTTTTTCAAGAGCATTAACTGTTGCCTTCAACTTGAATCCAGAAAACATGAATACAATATATGTTGACTTGTTTTTTGGAATTGGAGGTCAAAGCTCTCCTTAGTTTATAATATATGTAAACTTATACCCATATCTCTTGGAACTGAACTGGCTATTGTGGCTTTTGGAGGAGTGGTTTCGCAACAACCTAAGTACATCTATAAATATAAATTAACATATGTTATTTAAGGTAAATCGTAACTGTAAAGCACATGATAATATGAATTAATCATGATTTTTTACAATAAAGTTTTTGGTGTTTTTGTTTACATTTTTATCCTAACCAGGGGATTGTTACAATAAATTTCAAGATCCAATACATTTGTGTTGTTGTAAGATGGTGGTTATTGATATTTTTCATATTTCATGTGAAGTTGCTATCATTCGATTTCAGAAACTTGATATATGTATTTATATATCTTTCCACTACATATCAATTCTTAAGTATTTGGTTCAGTGACATTTTATTTTTCATGGAAAGTATCAGGTGAGGAATTGGAATTTTGATAAAAGAGTAAATATATGCAGCAAGTTTGGAGAACAATTGTTAAATGTAATTTAGTATTAGATAGTTAGTGTTTTTAGATTTTACTTTATGATTTTAGTTATACTTTAATAATATTTAGAAATGGTTTTATCTTATGATTTCAGTTATACTTTAATAGTATTTAGAAGTGGTTTTATTAAACAAAGCCTATGTTATATATTATGAACCAGCCAATTATATTTATCTCCATTTAACTGTGAATTGTTTTTTTTTTCGTTTTCATAAATGCATATGTTCATATTTATCTCCAATTAACCATGAAGTGTTTTTTGTTTACATAAATGCATGTATACATGTACAAAGTGCTTATGTGCATATATTTATTTTGCAAGTGCATATATTTGAAAACTGTATCACAGTCTCACTTCTGTTTTGTAAATCTATGTATATATTTGAAAACCATGAGCTTCATTTTTTTAATATCTTTTAATGTTTTAATTGGGTTTTGTTGGTTAAAAACTTAGGATGTATTTGAAGATTATGAGAGCAAGAGGTACAAGAAGTTGATCACACCCATTGATGCCCACCGAAGCAAAGCAGTACAAGCAATATTGAAATCTCCCCATTCACATATTCTTTAAGAATACAACAACATTCTTGAAGAATAAAATATATAAAAATAGAGTTCCAGATCAAGCATGTACAGAAAAAAAATGTTTCATGTATTTGTATTTTTTTTCATGTATTATTCCTAGAGCATGTCTTTTATTCTTTCAAGAATATTAAATAATTCTTCAAAAATGTAAGTTATGAATTTATAATTTATGTCTTATTCTTCAAGAATTTCATTTATACACTTATAATTCTTGTCTTATTCTTCTATTTTTATAGAATGTTTATTTATTTCAAGAATGTTGTTTTTTTTATTGAACCACAAATAATCTATATTCTTCAAAAATGCTCTCTACAATGGAAATATATCATTATTGTAATTCTGCAAGAATATTTGATTCTTTGTTAATTCAAACCAATTATTAATCTTTATTCCCCTAAAAAATCAAGTTAAAGTTTAGGATATAACACCACATTCTTCAAGAATGTTCATTGCAATTGAAATTGATTAAAAATCGGATAAAAAGTAAAACGAATACGTGACAAAATAACAGTCAAAAAAATATCCTTAAAATCCGCCCTTACCTGATTTGCTTAAAACTAAAATGTCCAATTCACCCTTCTTGTGGCTTCAATAAAAAAAAGTAATTACTTTTTTTTCCATTTAATTACCATTATGCCATTGTTGATCATAACCATCCGTTCTTTTAATATAATGGTCAAAATTTGGTCATACATTCATACAATAGTTATGATTCACATTTGATCTTAACCCTATATATATATATATATATATATATATATATATATATATATATATATATATATATATATATATATATATATATATATCATATTGTGTTATAATTTTTCAGGATGTCATTTTTTTGGATTGCAGTGCTCCATCTCATGGCGGCTGTGATGGGTCATGGAGGTGACGGTGGTGACGAGCCACCATATCCGTTTGGTGGAGGTTTTGGTGATCACCAGAACGATGGTAATTAAGATTTATTCTAATTCGTTGTATTTCATATTGTATCTATATAAAAATATTGCAAAAAATCGTTTGACTGGTTTTGCAGGGGATGTGGAGGCAGCAAGGGCTCAAGCCCATACGGGTATGGATCGGCAGTGTTGGAATGTTGCTATTGACTGCTTCTTAACAGAAAAACATCAAAAACGATCCGCTGGAAACAAAGAATGTCGGAAGAAGCAAGTAGTTAAGAATCGTGGAGGGACGTGCAGCTACGGTAGTGCTTGTTTCAAGAAAGTAAGTTACAATAATGCTTATTTAACTATAACATATTTTTTATTGTTTATTCAAATATAACATATTTTGTAATGTTAAACAGAATTTGAATAGACTTGAAGTATTTCATCGTGCACATGTGAATAAAAAAGGGGGAATTTTTTGATCCTTTGGTTGAAGAGCAACATGTAATTATTATTACTTAAAAATGAAGTAGATTGTTGTGTGTTTTTTTTATGTGTGTGTGTGTGTTAGTTTTAACGTATATTAACAATCTTTGTGAAATACATAATGCCTTAGTTGCTGAGGTTGCTCTACAGACTCATCACATAGCCGACTCTGATCCAGACACCATTGATTGGATCATAATATTTGAGAAGATGTTGGGTACACAAAGGGGGCATGTGAGAGGCATTGGGCCTAAACCTTCTTCAGCTGCGGGTACAAGTGTTCCATCTCAATGGCAGTCACAGTCACAAGCACCTCAACCAACACAGGTACTTGTTAAATTCTTAAAGAATTTAGTAGCTTTTTTATATTGTTAAGAACTTGATGTATTTGTGGTAATTTTTGGTAGCTCGGCAGTTTGTTAAATTGTTAAAGACTTAATTGATTTAGTCGTTTAATAGTTTGTTAAATTGTTAACGACTTAATTCATTTGGTGCTTTGATGGTTTGATAGTTTGTTAAATTGTTAATGACTTAATGTGCTTGTGACTTAATTATAGATGTTGATGTGAATGCGAATGCTTTTCTTCAAAACCCGGCATTTGTGATGGATATTGGAGACATTATCCGCTCGTTTAAAAACCAAGTCAACAACGAGGAAAACAACAATAGGGAAGACGAAGACATATAATAATTCTTGTTTTATGTTATGGATGATGTTTATTTGGGATTTATTAGATATATGTAATATGGGATATTTGATGTTTTATGTAGTGTGATATGTATTTATTTATGTATTTTTATCAAATCTGCATTTTATAATATATATATATATATATATATATATATATATATATATATATATATATATATATATATATATATATATAAACTAATATCTCCGGGAAGCTTTGCGACATGGACCAATTGCGACGACACATAACTCCGGGAAGCTTTGCCGGAAAAACTCCGGCCGGTGGCCGGAAAGTCAATAGATACGACATCAATAGCGACAACCTACGAGTATTAGAGACGACATGTATTAGAGATGACAAGTGTTAGCGACGACAAACAAGTATTAGCTACGATGTAATAGCGACGACCCTTTAGAGACGACTTGTCGTCTCTAATACCTTTAGCGACGACAAGTGGCACAATTGCGACGATTTTTGTCGCCGCTAAAGGTTACATTTTTTGTTGTGTTATAGTTCTTGCAAACAAAAACATTTATTTCTATTATTGATATTTGAGAATCTTATCTTATTATGATTTTACTTAAAAAGACAGAATTAGGGGCATTGTTTGAAGAACCACTAGCAAAGGATCCTAACTTATAGGATTCTTCCCTAGAACACATTGCACAGATGTTCTCTCTTTAAAATGTTACTTCTAAATTGAGAATATGAATAATCTAAATCCACTCAGTTGCATCATTGTGTCGTAGGTTGTTGGAAGCATCGCAAACACCCACAAACTGATTGATTAATGCATCAAATTCTTTTCAAATTGAATTTAATTCGTTATGATAATCTGATAAACTATAACTTCTATAAACACATGCATGCATTAATTCGTTGGTAGACGTCATATATAATAGACCCATCAATTTGCTCATAAGTTTCTTTTAGGTTAGTCCAAACTTCCACCAAGACGTAGAGAGAACCTGGCTAACATATAAGTTTTATGACACAACCTAAAAACTTGGACAAAACTACAGCAACAGCCATATGCCACTATCTATCCTTTAACTCATCGTTCTGATCAGTCCGAGAACAAGAGTCATTCACAAACCCTAGCTTATTCTTAGCGTTAAGGACTAGTTTAATTAGTAGCACTAGCCCATGCTTGATAGTTACTAGTTCCTAGCAGTTTAAAACGAACAATAGCAAATTAACATTACTGAGATCTAGAAAAATAGTAAAAAAAAAATGGTTTTGATACCAACTTAAAAAAAAATTTCATTCAAATTATAAACACATGATCGTAGAAATAGTTTTGAATCAGAGAAAATACAAAAGGAAAGATTAACTCTAACACGCCTCTAGTAAGAAAGATTACAACATATATAAACTAATATTGATTTCAACAAAGAATCTATATAGGTTTGCGATGAGCAAACTCTAACTCTGCAGACCAAGAACTAGAGAGAAAACAAGAGTATCAGAGGGTGTAAGATAAAATGAGAGACAAGATAACACTCTCTCTCTCTCTCTCTCTCTCTCTCTCTCTCTCTCTCTCTCTCTCTCTCTCTCTCTCTCTCTCTCTCTCTAACAACTTATACACCATTGGATCGGAAAGTAGGTTAAACGATCCGAATGTTGAGTAAGAACATCAAACACGAGCCTCGGTCCTTAACTAATGTTATACCCGTCCGGTGGACGGTTGACCGGTGTAATAAAAATTATTGACTTTTTCTTTCTTCTATATCGGCATTCTATAATTTTTTTCCGATATTAGCACTATACAATGATAAATCTACCCAATTAATAAACATATGAATGAAAAAACATTAAAAGAAAATAAAATAAAAATAATAACAATCCATTAACACACAATAAAATAAAAACGTATGCTTAATGTGTATTAGCTATATTATTCTGACAAATGACAAAAGTAACGATTATCAAGCAACGAAGCATTCTTACAGCATATTGTACATTGGACGAACTTCTACTCGTTTGTAACGTCTACATCAATGTTGGTTCCAACAATAGTGTAATGTGTATCTTTCATAATTATATAATGGAAATAATTTTACTATAATTTTTTTGGGAAAACTTCATTTATATCCTTATAAACTTTCATAATTACGTATTTATCCTTGTAAAATTTTAAATTACATATATATCCTTATAAAACCTATAAAATTACATATATATCCAAATAGTTAATTTAAACATATTTAATTTAATGAAATAATAAAAACACTATCTTTAAATTAAATTATAACTAATTTACCAAAATATATTTGCAATCTCTTTTATAATCAAGCATCTTATTCACAATATGGTTATCTACACATAATCGATTAGAAAAACTCATTGATTGCATATTAAAATTTTTAAACAATATAGTTCATCTCCTTTAATCGATTTATGAAACCTACAATTATTCTTTTTCTAAACAGTTTTGTTCTTCCTCTGCTTTCAGTTATAACTACACAAGTAGATGACAGAAAAAAAAAATTATAATTTCAATGTGGGTTTCAATATTTTTGTAAGGTTTCATAAGGTAAATAGGTCGAAAATAGCAATGTGGGACAAAAATAATATTGTAATATTACAAGTTAATTATACTTTTAATAAAACAAAAAACTTAAGATTGTGTTTTTTTTAAATATAATATGATTAAATTAAGCATTTGGATATATATGTAATTTTAAAGGTTTTATAAGGTTATATATGTAATTTTAAAGGTTTTATAAGGTTATATATGTAATTTAAAATTTTACAAGGATACACGTAATTATGAAAGTTTATAAGGATATAGAAGAAATTTTCCCAATTTTTTTTATCATAGTAATAAGGTAATATCTCAATGACACATTTCTGTAGATCACTGTATAAATTTGATACAGTGGTGACAGTCAGCAATTCAACTTATCACCATAGACTTACTTCATAAGATGTGATGTGAAGATATATATGTGAATCCTTATGAGAATCATACACATAAGCAACATTGATCAGAAATCACCCAATCAAACATATATTTGATTTAGAAATCGATTAGTTTATAGGTTCATAAAATCAATCTAAACAAATTGCCATCAAATTCAATAATTGAAGGGAACATAATTGACCACTTTCAAAACAATTCAGAAGATTTCAATGTTCCATTACATGAACAACTAACATGAAAAAATCCAAAGGCTATGAGGTTTTTCTAACATATTTACTAAAAATATTTACATACGTAACAAAAGATCTTTCTTACTCAAAAATACATACAATGTCCATGAAGATCATCAAATGGGTTTTTCTTTGCACCTGGTTGAAGTAAAGAAAATAAACTCATAATAGACAATTTATTATCAATAATCAACCCCAATACGTAAAAACTATAGATCGATTTTACTTTCTTCTATAACATCGTATTTTCATGTGTTACAATTATAGCATTGTACTATGAAATTCATTATTTTTTGTACTTATATTTCCCAGGTGACACCTCAGACATAAATGAATAATAATGAAGGAAATTAAGTAATCTAACCACTTTTTAACATGTATTTGAAAAAAATAACCTATAATTTTTTTAGCAAAAATAATCACTTAGTATGGAATGGATATTCCGGACAAAAAAAAACACATTTTTTTACCGATTCTGGAACGGCATTACGAATTCCAGACCAACATTCCTGATTCTATGAATTGCCAAATAAATCTTTGATAATTCATTAATTTTAATAATCAACTAAAGGTGTATGGGTTTCTGTGATAACATGTGTGCAATTACGTTGAGGGTCATTAGACCAGAAACAAACGAAGACACAAGAATGGTTCAAATTGCCAAATTATAACATAATTTTTATTATTAAGTGGTAGATAACCAACTTATAACCAGTTCATAAAAGTATTAGTGACATAGAATATCTGAATTGAGAGACAAAAACCGATTAAATTTTACAATGAAATCCATTACCATAAAAAAACTATGAAAGAAAGTCTAGTATATCTATGTATGGATTATGAAATATCGTCCAATATTGTGATCCAACCCACCAACAAAATGACAGATGCAAGGGCTCTTATACTGAAATAACAATGATATAAGCTCATCATTCTCTGTAAAAAAGTTTTGTGGTAAACTTATCAATTATATATGAATGATTGAATGAAGCTTGAACCAACCCTTTAGTATCAAATAAAAGACGGTCAGTGATCCCAGAATCGACATGCATCTGAAAAACAAAACATAAAAAATACATATTTACAAAATAATGATAAATAAATAAAATTTTCTTTTAATTTAGATGAAATATAAAACATAAATAAAATTATGGTTTTCTCTTAAATTGACTAACTAACAGAAAGAGTGAAATACACCAACTAACTTAACAGACCATAAATCAAAATATGTTGATTTGTCATATATCTTTTTTCTATTAATTTGATCAAACATATCATTCATTAATTTGTCATATAATAACTAAATATATTAGCTATTGTAGTTGAAGAGAAAACCATGTAATCAATGTCATCACTAAAATGAAAGTGTATAGCAACTTAAACCTGGAAATAGCCATTATTGAATTAAGAAAGCTTCATAAAAAGAAAAAAACAAAACCTAAATTAGAGTTCATCTCGATCGATCAAAGCACAAGAAATCCAATTGGTCTTGCTTCCTGAATAATTAAAAAATCTAATTGATTCCAACTATGAATAAAAATGGAGATACCCAATTGAAAACTCAATTAAGAAAACCCAGAACAATACTTTTTTAGGGGAAACAAAAACGTGAATTCAGTCGATCTTTTGAGAATGAATCAAAAGAAAATTTCAAACATTGGAAATCAGAGGAACCCGAGTTTCATTTTAGGTGATTAGGTGGTGGTAATGGAATTCAACGTTAAATGGTTCAAAGGAGAAGGCAACTTCCATGTCTAGGGTTTTCTAATAAGTATTAGGATGGTTCAGAAAAGATAATAAGTAATACAAAAGAGCAACAACTGGAAAACAAATGATTTGGATATTCAAAAAACTTTCGGTTCTGGATTGAAGCAATATAAATCTAATCAATATCGGTATGAATGTGAAATTAAAAACTAACCCCAGATGAGAAAATCCAAAATCAGATTGATTGTCCAACGACGAATTGTGTTGGGGTTGAAACACACTTTTATTCAGAACTAGAACAAAAGAGAAGAGCTTACACGCTCAATATTACAAGAAAAAGAAACAACCCTCTAATACTCACTCTAAGTATTACACACTACACTCTCTGTTTGTGGTGTCTTACAACTGAGGTTAGAGCCTCTATTTATACTTAAACAAGCCTATAATTACTACTGCTACCATTTATTGTGTTCATTATGTGAACATACGAAGTTGCCATTTGAGTTCTTATTGTCAACAAAGGAGGGATTCATTTGTCAACTAAAGAGGGTGGTACAGCTACTCATGGCAGGTTCACACCCAAGTAGGTTTACACTCACATTCTCCCCCTTAAACCGAACTTGGCTAGAGATTCGTCACGCCGATCATGTTTCGCATTTCACTATGTTTCATGTATGCTAAAGCCTTTGTAAAGATGTCCGCCCGTTGATCCTTTGAGTTGACATATTCCACTATAATTTGCCCACGTTCAACACATTCTCGTATGAAGTGATAACGAA